AACAAGTGAAACAAGTGAAACAAGTGAAACAAGTGAATTTATTTCTGCAAATAGGCTACAAGGCAGCACTTTTACACGTCATTTTTATCAAGCGAACGATGAGGTCGTCAATTGCGTAGTAACACGCACGTTTGGTAAACTGAATTTAATACATTTGGTTTTTTTCTCATTCAGTGCTGGATTGTTAATGGTGAACCAATTATGCACTCGAAGAATGGAGCTGTTTACGTCGTCATGATTATTTGTACGTCGATCTATTTTAAAAATTATTGATGTATCATCTGCAAAAAGCACCATTCTTGGTTAATTTTTAAATATAAATGGCAAATCATTTATATAGACTAAAAATAGAAAGGGACCCAATATTGAACCTTAAGAAACGCCCAGATTCGCCCATATTTTAAATAGAAAATATCAAAGCACTCAGTTGCTAGGTCCTGTTTCCAAAACTGGATCTCATACATTTATGAAATAACAATAATATTAAGCATCGAAGCAATCAAACTGATTAATAACACATGCAAACATATGTATGTAAACATACGTATGCTACCTGTATGCTCTTTCAGAGGCGTAGACAGAATAGATTTTTTTTGAGGAATACCATCCAATTACTTCTCCCGCCCGAGTGAGGCGAGAGGGAGTGTCAGACTCTTACTGACTAAAAACCACCCCGTTCCTACTCCTGCACTTCGAGCCGGAGCCCCAGCAATTCGTTAAGCCCTCCGCGGCTCCGTATCGGCATCAGCCCTATCGGGCCCCATCTGTGGCTCCTAGAGAGCCATACGCGAGAGGTCGCCGTCGCCGATCACATCCCTGAGGACAAGGCGGTGCTCAGCCCATGCTGACGCAGGGCACACCGCCACCGTGTGCTCCACCGTGTCCTCAGACAGAAACGATGGAATGCCAAATGCCGAATCTACTACATACTTAAGTCAGTATTTAGTCTTTCGATTTTTTCACATTTATTAGTCTTTTTCGCGTGCTAACTCATGTTAATTGACATATAATACTAAATTAAAGAGTTATTTTTTATATTTTATTTCAAAGAAAACCACTAACAACCTTACACTATTATATTACTAGAAGAAGGGTTAAAGTAAAGGGTACAACATTTCATAAATAAAGAGTGTACGAATAAAAAAAAATGAAAACTTTTTTCAAGAGGGAAGAAATTTTTAGGGTGAACCTTCTCGATTTTTGTATTTCGTAACAGTTTGTATTTACGGAAACCTCTAATATTTTTTTATTTTTGAACATCAAATAAAAAGTTACCATGGTTGACCAGTTCGAAATGTACTCACGTGAAAACAAAAAAGTGAACCTCTTTATTCTTAAAATTTAATTCATCAAGTTTCCAGCAAAAATAAAGATTGTAGGAATGTTCGATATTCTCGTTGTAACTTGATTGACATAAACTAGAATTTGATTTGTCTGGCCAGAGCTTGGCGTTTGGCTCACACATCATACGAGAGAATATTACATATATTAGGTTTTCTGGCTCACTTTGACATGGCGAGACTAATGGCATGACTAGACAAATTTCGTAAAAACTGACTGATGTGATACGACATTATTATTGTAAACTTTAAACAATTCTTGGCCGAAATACTTTAACAGCCGTAACAACCTATCTGTCAGGTTTGGGAGTTAGTGTCGAAACACAAGCGCCTATTTCTCATCACAAAATCACATCTGATTTATTAATTTTAGTTTAACTAACATTTACAATTGAATAAATAGCAAATGCTCCCATATTACTTATAAACAATGAAAATTGTCCACGTCATTGGTAGGTAGTATACATTTAATACGTAACGTAATTGGATATTGTCAACCTAACAGTGATTAATCTTTTCTCGTCAATGTAACGCGGTAAATCCAAATAAAGTGATAATTTTTTTTACAATATTGTGCTTTCCACAAAGAGTACACTTGCAGAATTGAGTTTTGTATCCCGTCTGTACGTTTGCCTACATTACGGCAGGAAACAGTAGAGTTGAGCGGTATCGTAACCAATACTTACAGGAAATTAACGTTCAATATCCGCGCGAGTTCCGTTAGCTTATCGTACTTACATATTATATCTATGGTGGTGCCTTTTAGCCCATAAATACAAATGTTTCAGACATAGATTTTACGTGTACCTATTGCATAAGTTGACTTTGTAAGTATAATCTTACAGGGGAAAGATTATTGATAATAATATGTTGAGACACCTCTATGCATCGGAGATAACTATTGGTCTTTGTTTAATATTTCCTCTGAAATTACTTTGGATAATAGCCTGGCGATGGCATAACCAGGAATGGCGTATCGTCTCTAGCGGATAGGAGAAGAAACAAAATGAATAGGTAGGTTGTAACCGTTGAAAATTACATCTGAAAATTGATTTGAATAAAAACGGAAGGTAGCCACATACAACAGGTACAGAGTGCCTTATATTCTTGTCTTTATTCTACTTTGATAATTTTGAGGAGGAATAAAAATAAGCGAAGGACAGAACGCACACGAGATTGTAGACAGGATTCCAATAACAGTGTAGTTAGGTTTCCATACCTAGGTTTTTTTTATTCACTCATATAATTATATGAATTTATATTTAAATAGTAAACGTAAATTTATATATAATGATATAGATATATAAGATATAAATTTACGTGGAATTCTTCGTAATATTTTATGATATTATTACTAGGAATTGCAAACATGTGTATCTAAAAAGTATTTGATATGGAGTCGTAGGTACCTATGCAGAACATAGGTAATATTAGTTTCTATCTTTTGTAATTGTGTCTTAAAAATAGTTAATTCAAAAAAAGTTTACGTTTATTAAATATTCGATGGATTTTTTTTAAGGGGGGAAAATCATCGAATGACTGCTCCCGCCTGGGTGAGGCGGGAGGGAGTGTCAGACTCTTACTGACTAAAAACCACCCCGTTCCTTCTCCTGCACGTCGAGTCGGAGCCCCGGTTACCCGTTAGGTCCTCCGCGACTCCGAATCGGCATCGGCCGTATTGGGCCCCATCTGTGGTGGTCTGATGGCTCTTTGAGGCGCGCGCGGAACGCGACGCGCCGTACGCTCGGGTCTGTTTCTGGTCGGACGGGGAGCCACCCATGCTCGCCGTCCGCAGGCCCGCGCTTACGGTGGCCGGAGATCGTCCGATGGATAGGTACCGTTAAACGTAACTTTTTAGTAGACGTAACGGAGAAAAGCCAGTAAAAATGGCCAGATCAAATGTCTCTTGGGTCACATAAACAACTTTGCGTATGTAAAAATAGATGAGATCTTACTTTTCACCGGTTACTTTTTTAGTTTATATAACTATCATTATAAAAAAACAATGGACCTTCATCTAGACCGTTCTATGATCCCAATAAAATATTTAGTCTTACTTATTCATGAGAAACAAAGTGAAACAAGTGAATTTATTTCTGCAAATAGGCTACAAGACAGCACTTTTACACGTCAATTTTATCAAGCGAACGATGAGGTCGACATTTCCTAACTGACTACTCTGAGAAGAAATTCCGAAACAAACTCAGAGGTCTGTCTCTTTTAAAGTCCAGACAATATGTAGAGGTATAACAGATTATGTGTGAGAACTGTGCCAGTTCTTTCTGTAGTGGGCTTTTGAGGAAAGAACCACAACAGTTTGAGCGGACCCGTTCTGAAAGCAGTACGCATGTGTCGGTTTACAGTCAGCTCAATTAACAGGTGAGGCTGACTGAAAGTAATTCATGACGGTCTACTAATAATGTAGTATGTACTACTTTTGTAATAATATATTTCTTTCACTTGAATTTCGGAACCGACTTTATCGAATTTTAACTGAAAACAAACTGTGGACGTAAATGTACAAAAACATGTTAAAACAGCATCCAATGTAAGGTGTATCACTTGCAATAATGACACTCAATTTGATCAAAGTGAGTCAAGTTAACTAAGTTGTCAGCAGACTATCAAGTATCACGAACAGCACAAAGCTTTATAAGTTGACACCTGTTCCGAACCGCCGCTAACTAACTCCAAGTAGATACATTGCGAGCAAGTTAATCACGTTCAAAAGTTGAACTTTCATGCAAACAAACCTGTTTTGCATGATTTCGCATTTAATAGTTAAACCATTAATTGTTTATTCAACGAGTTAGCGTCAGAAATGAGTTTCAGACGTGGTTCAAAAGTTTATAACTCTTCCTCAAGATTTTAATTTTATTATAACGGACGTGTGTAGTTTTGGAAGTTTTGAGTTAAATGGAATACAAATTTAGAATATATATAGTAGTCTGTCTGGCTGTCCATGAACGCTAGGAATAAATAGACCAATAAAGTTATTTTGAATGCTTTTATTTTTTGTGTACCTATATTCTCTTTGTTTCTTACTACTGGTGGTAAGTGTCATCCAAGTAATATTGGTAACGGAATTTAAGAAACTAAAATTGTATAAGCTCCATGCTTGCAGGGGTCTCTTAACGTAAACGATAGGATATGTTTATGCCTTCGATAATCACCGATTATGATGATAAGATTGTACAGCTTTTTCTATACAAAGACGTTTGAATATTTTTAATTTTCATATTATTTGTATTTTGTTATACCCATGTCATCAATAAAAGTAGGTGAGAAAACTGTACCATAGCTTATCAACAATAATAACAATAATTAAAGAAAATTTCAGAATAACTCGACGGAGTGCTTAGGACTTGTTTTCCAAGTTTTCTTTTTGTGTTCTTCCTTCCCTTCTGATATCATGATTTATTCCGGAATGATTGCGCGGCCTTCAACAAACGAATTTTAATAATTTCGCCTGCGGCACATACCCGTCATGAAAGCAGTGGAAACAAAGGGCGTCATTGTTACTCAAAACAGCACAATCGCCTACAATCAGGCAGGATGACGGGAAAATTACACACGAGAAACTTTCAAACACGCAATAGTAACTTATAGAAACAACGTTAACTAAATTTACATAGTAATAAATAAACAATCGATACCAACTTGAGCACACTATGAGGAACACGAAGTGTATTGAATAGTTCATAGTCTCTCAACACTTGTCAAATGTTTCCCGGATGTTTCCGCACTCGAGGGAAAGTGGGAGAAGGGAGGCTGACACGCGACCACCGCGCGACTCCGTGGTGGCGCGCCGACTGAAAACTTCCAAGTATGAAGTGATCCTGCTGCAAGGGCGCATGCGGCACGCCTGCCTGTTGAGTTACTTTACAAGTTCCTTATTACAGCGTTAAAAACATATGCTGACAAGCTTTCCATATTTGTAATGCTATAAGTACATGTTTTCGTGAGGAAGGGTGAATCGGATTGTGAACGTATTTATCGTAGCTGTCGGACGAAAATAAAATGGAATGGAATTTGTATATTTTTAGGGGGACATAAATACTGTAATTGGACAAATTGGGGCGTTATAATTGTTACAGGTTATTTATGTAATTTTGTATGACCTGTTTTAAGTCTTAGTCTGTATTAAAAAGTTCCCTAGCAAAGCTCTGTGAGTAGGTAGTTAGCACGACAGGGGTCTAGGGAAATAATGGAATAGTGCTCTGTGCCACGGTCCTGTATCTTGAAATAAAATAATGTTTTACCTCTAACTTCTACTTACGTACATTTAGTAAGAGAATATAGGATCTCTTATTAAGTTCGCACAGCGACTGGACAATCGGTTGCTGTTCATTTTGTTGTACGAGGCAGAAAGTTTGAAGGTTAATTTTTAACAATGTCTATTATTTTACTTTATTGCGGCTTTGCTAAACTATAAATATAATTGTGTCAAAAGATTTTTTACATGCAAAAATTACACACATGAGACAATAGTTTGTATTAACCAAAGGCGGGCAATTTAAAAAGAGAACGCGATTAGTTTCTTTCATTTTTTTTAAATTTTGTACCTATTGTTCTAGAGGCGGCAATGACTTGGATTTAGAAAGAGAACATGATATATTTCTGCCTTTGTCATTTTGGGTCTGACGTCATTGACATGTCATTTGTTTTATTTTCCAATGTTCTAAAGGCGGCAATAACTTGAATTTAGAAAGGAAACGCGACATATTTCTGGCCTTATCATTATGTGTCTGTCGTCATTGACGGGTAATTTTTAAACTATAATAATAATAAATAATAAATAATAATAAATAAAGTTTATTTTCAAAATAATAGTCTAGAAATGTACAGTTTTGCTTAAAGTTAAATAAAGTTCACAATATAAGGTGCCTGAACTAGGAAATCCTGTATTTCAGGCGAGGTTAGGGTAAATTATGACAATATTTAATTATATGTATGCATATTGATATAAAGTAATACTTAAATTCTATGCTTAATATGTATATAAGAGTATGTATGTAGTATATAAATAAGAGATTAGGAGCTTACTTTAAGTATTATTTAGGAACTAATAATAACTTCTCTGTGTCTTCATAGGACATGTCTTGAAGGGCTTCCTTTAGAATTTTCTTACAGTTACGGATACTATGGATGTATTGTTTAACTTAAATTTAGATTTTTGAATTATCTGAATTCACGTCCAAACACATGCTTATGTTACAGCCCGTTGATTCAACGTTACAGGTGCAACTGAATTCAAAGTCCTTGATTCAATTCCGGAGTCGAGCAGTATCTATTTTATAATTAGTTTCTTACTCTCTAGTAGGTACTCTTTCATTGATAGTAACTTACTATAGTATATATAGTAACTTATATAGTAACGTACTTTCACGATTACAGAGATAACATTTATTGAAGCAAAATATGAATAGTTTTGCATTGTACAGGGATAACACTTCTACTTACCCTATAATAATTGTAATTGTAAAAGTAATTTAAACACTGGATATACTTATATGTAGGTATTGGTAAGCTGACCAAAGCATTGACTTGCATAAAAAAGAATCATAACGTAATTTGTAAAATTATAATAATTAATTTATTACGCCCAATGTGTCGAACAAACAAATTTAAATAATTAGTGTTGACGCGAGCGAAATGTAACTTTTGCGACCTAGATGGAGCTAGATGAAACCAGCATTTTTTCTTGGCAATACAATTCGGAAAACCCTCCATTTTGGTAGCATGCCAATTGTAATACCTACATATCTACACAGAAAATGAATTGTTATAAGTCCAATATTCAGGAGTTGCGAAATAGGCAATATGTTTTAAACATTTTATTTGTGTCGTTCAGCGTGAACAAATTGAAATCGACTTTCAATATCCTGCAGAGTAAAAGCTTCCTGAGTTCTGAGATTTGTATACGTTACCAAGGGCATTACCAAGTCCCTATTTATTTTCTTTATAGTTTTAGATATTAACAAGGATAATTATTTTCTTTGTGTGATATTTTAAGTACGTATAGAGAAGATGTTCATACATAAATTTACATAGTTTAGTTGAAAACAAGCACGGCGAGAAAGATCTCTCATTGCCGACCATAGTGCGAACTACAGTCAACAGTGAGTCTGCATGGGACGGAATCGCTTCTTTTTGCGAATATGTCATGTTGGCAGAGGAGGTGGCTAAAGGGAGAGGAAGGCGTCCAACTTCATCCCCTCCCGCCGTAGATGTGCCGGTCGTCAACACCGCGAGGTGGCAGCCGATCTGCAACCTCCATAGGAGAGGCCCGCGGGCGACTGACAAGTTGAATCATTCATTCGCTATATGGGCGTGAGTAGCGTAGCGTTAGCGTTGTGTTCCACGCGCGCCACAAGATAATCAGCCTGCAAGGGCTGCTTCGTGGTAGGACCTGCCGCAATATAGTGGTAGGTCGAGGCCTGCCGGCTGCGGTGATTCGCAAGGGCGTCTCGGGTCACGGTCTCAGGCAAAAGGAGGAACACCGCGGTGGTTTAGCCGGTAAGAGTCCGGCACACCCCCGTCGTGCCTACGACGTGGATGAAGTCCATGAGGATTTCCATCGCGTTATAAAAAAAAAGTCGAATACAAGCAAGCAAGGACAAGATTGTATGTATAGTGTGGATAGGAAAGCACTCTCAAGTTGGTAGCTATTGAATCTAAAGCTTGACATCATTATTTTAATGGCATCTCACTGGCCACCCAATACGATGAATACGATCTTCAAATTCGTCCCCATTCCATATCACTACGAACTCAGTCAGTAATGCTCATTACGCAGTCAATGACATTTTGATTGGCTTTTAGTGGTGTATATTGTACATTTGTAGTCATAACGCAGAGTCAACGCTCATTAATCAGAGATAGCACCATTTAGCAGATAATTATGAGTTACACTAAATTCTGAACTCGGTAATCAGGCTCCGTGTTATGCCTCTACTAGTCTCTGCCAGCGGCTTCGCCTGCCTCCCGTAGATTATAAATGGCCTGTGTGTTATTCCAGACCGTAAGCTACCTCTGTTGTAAATTTAATAGCGATCCTTTTAACCGTTATGACGTGAAAGAGTATCAAATACACACACCCTATATCCTCAAAAACTTTTGCCTTTACAATATTAGTAAGATTAATTTTAACCTATTCATAATGTTCCTATTTTTACATTATTGTAGTAATTTTGGGACCGTCTCGTGAACTCCCTAGCAATAACTGATATAACACACAGGTAGTAGATATGCAAGTTAATATTGCAAAAATATAAGTAGAAATACTTTGCATCACTTCAAACTTACTCTGAGAATCGTGGCTGACCATGTACTCAGGTCAACATTACTGTCGTATCTGTTTAATGAAACATTAGCTATACCTACAACTGGTCAGATATGCAAATCTAATTATTTCAGAAACTGAGCCGAAAGAAATAAACCGCAGAATCCTTACAAAATACTTAATACAGATAGTAGTATTCCTTTTCTGGATTCACATTTAATATTCTTTTTACAAGTTTCATTGGAAATTGTGAAGGCAATAAAACTAGAAAGTGGATAACGATCAATATCATCTCCTAAGTTGCTAAGTATTGAGTTTCAACATGGAAATTCTGTGTACCAAACCACAATCAATTCTGTGTACCAAAACACAAAAAAACAAAAACAAATTGCCCAACAGCAAGGAAATAAAACTCTAGTATTTTCATTCCAGTTTCACCACGGAACTGAATTCTGTTCCGTGGATTTCACTTTCTATCTTCCTTTCTGCTATTCTTAGAATTGTCGTCAATTCAATCAAACAATGTTTATAATAATATGTATTTTACTAAAAAAAAAGTTTCTAATCCATGTCTGAGAATACAGCTGAACTGAGCTAATGAATATTGTACTTTTTATTTGCATATCGTACGTATAAATAATGCGGCAATACTCATATTAATGGACACGAGAAAGCCGAAAATCGATTCAGTCCTCTTTTTAATATTTGACGAGGTTCGATGGGCCGGACCATCCCGTACGGTTGCTGAACTGCCTGCAAAACTTAGGGTTGAAAAGAAGTCATGTACCACCTCAATGTCCAAGTACCTAGTTGCAGGGTGATAGTCCTGAAAAAAATACATGTTCTCTTTTCAAACTAATTATTTTTTTAAATTACTTAACGATAAGTTTACACGTTGTTGAGGCTTAATTAGCCGTCTGTCCCTGAAATACTTAGGCGTGTACTTAGAATTCTGAATAGAGCTATTAAAGTTATGAGGGTGAACGTTTTAAGTTAAGTTTATACCCATTCTATTTAATCCATGCCAGTCGGGGACATCGCTTCAAAAATCATCATATAAATGTTATCACATAATATTCGAACAAATTTGTATTGGGCTACCACCAACCAATACCAATTTGCCACTATACTGCGAGCACAAGAATAATAATGTCTACGCCTCCTCGTGGTAGAAACGTGACTCTTACTGACAACCCTAAAACCTTTCATAAGTTTACTTTTTTAATAATGAAATGCAATACGAGTGGTAGTTCAAAAGAACGACGGAACCCGCAATTTATGTCCGCATTAGATTGACTAACTGTGGTCAATAACTCGGTGGACGGTGCATTAGTTTTATACCTAAACTAAAAGTAAAGCCTCGCAGCCCTTATTCATCTACCTGTCAATCTATTTCCCTTTTCCATCAGGAAGTACTGAGCGAACAGTAATTTTCTGGCACATTGTCGTTCTTTCTGAAATGAAGTTAAAAATAGGAAGTGAATGTAATAGAAATCTAGATAAATATATTCTTTAA